CTCTCTCTCGTTCACGTGGACTCGTAAAATAAAGTCACCTTTTCTTCTCAGAAAGACTCAAGATGCTGCATTTCTACAAATTTTGGTAACTGTTTCACAGTGTTTGGGGCACACACATTTTTTTTGCAAATGGGTCACAGGCTGGGTCTGGCGAGTGGGTAGGGACTTTGCACAGAAACCTTCTACGATGCAATCTGCTCTACGATCAGTGTGCGCACGAGATGAACAGGGCGCAGATACACCATGCAACAGACCGCACGGAAAACAGTCTTCCCATCTGTCACTCCCCGAGGCTGAGACCCGGCGCAGGACCGGTGACTAAAGGAAGAAAGAAAAGCTGCAGCGCAGGTGACCTGATGATATTCTGGTGGCCGAGAGGACCTGATAACACACTTTTAAAACTTAACTTGCAATAGGAATAAAACTTTCCATTTAAACTTCAGCAAATGTACAGTTCCTGAAAAATATTAGTTGAAACTTGATGGGTGTAAACCGACGTCTCTTCTCGGCAAGCTTGATTCGGCTGTGAGCTTCCGCCTGGGTCCTTGGGTGACACAGATCTGCACCCAGCGGACACTCTGGGAGCGTCACGTCTGCAGGGAGGAAGCAGCGCTGGCGCCCACTGCTGGCTGGAGGAAGAAGCAGCTTGGGTTTGGGTGAAGGTAGCAATGTTCCTTTGGATTTCAAACGTGTTTCTTGGAAAACGTTGATCTCCTTCATTTTGTCCCATTTTTTAAATTTAGAACCAGAACCCCTTGGAAACGTTTTTCTTTCTTTTGCTATTTTCAACATCACATAACTGCATCTAATGTTTGAAACAACCAAAACATCCAGGAAAAAAAAAAAGACAAAAAACATAAAGTGTAGGTACTGCATTGGGTATGACTAACTTAAGCATGTGTTTAAAGAAACTGGCAAAATGTGTATCAGGATAAAAGCTTTTGCGGAGGCAAAAATACCGCAGCCACGTGGTCCAGACGAGCAGGGCAAAGGAGCCCTGATAGCACTCGGCTAATTTACATCTACAGTGATTTTAAAATCAGACTAACACTTGCAATAGAAGGGATATACTAATGTGACTAAATGAATACGTCTCTAAAGAATTAAGCCCTGAATAAAATCAGCAAGGGTAGAAAGCAAATGCATTTGAAATACATAAAGACAGAAGGGATTTTCAAAATCTACATCATGCATCGGTACCTGAAAAACCCCACAGAATCACACCACAATCAGTGTCACAGTTCTTGGAAGGTCTTGTTGTGGGTTGTGGTCATGAGGGTGTATGTGAATGAGAGAAAATAGAAGGCAGAAATCTGACAAGGAGAGAATGGCCCCAATTCCTCCAAGTTGATAAAAGTAACTTTTATCCATGATAAAAGTAACCATGGATGTGTCCCTTTAAATGTTTTTAATTACAGTTAAGCAAGAAAGCAAAACAAGGAAAATATGAAAGAATTAAAATTACAATTATTTAAAATAAAGGCTCAGGCCAAGGCATGGTGAATAATTTAGTCCTAATTATTAAAGCTCAAACCTTACTTTTGAGTTAAAAGACTGGAAACGTAATACTCAAAACTAAATCTACTAAGGAATTCAGGAAGCTAAGGATTTGTGTGTCTCTGTGCATCACGTACAAGTGTGTGCTTGTGTGCTTGGATACACCAGCAAAGCAAAACTCACTGAGATTGAGTGCACCAAGTAAAGAGGACAAAAAATCTAAAAAGCATGCTAGAAGAGGAAACCTACACTGAGCAAATCTAGTTCTGAATGAGTCTGTTTTGTTGCTGTGAGAACAAGTCACTTCGTGCAGCACTGAACTCATCCACACAGGGGCTTTTCCATCAAGAGGAGAGTCAGGATGGAGGGTAACTGTGTCTTAAACACTTCAAAACTTCACCTCTCTTCCAAGACTGGTTTCTCACGTGCTTCGCAGAAGTAACTAAAGCTGGGAAATGGACCACAATTCCTGCCTTAGTAAAAGGGCCATTTTTGAGAATTACTTTCCACATCCATTGCATTTGTGTTAAGATTTTCTGTGTAATTAATTCACAATCAACTATTAATTAATCAGATGCTTGCATTTTTTTTTAGAATTTTATTCCACTGCCCTGATCCAATAGCTCATGTTGTTAGCATGCGTTTCCAAGAAAATTTCTAGTTAAAAAATACATTCACTATCTCTGGAAAGATAATGGAAGAATTGCATTTGATGATAAAACTGTATCTATTATAAATCAGCACAACCAATTAAAAAAATACCGTCAGTCAGACATTCTACACATACTCACAGCTGGTTACCGAATTCAGATTGAACAGGGAGACTTCGGCCCAATATAAAATACCACCTTAATGAGAGACTCATCGAAACTTTTGGTGATAAAACCATCTGCCCTTTAAAGAGAAGATCTGGGGAAAAGACGAAACAGAACTCAAAAGCGTGTCTGCTAAGTAAATCTGCCAAGATACAAAATCCTCCCAACTGTGCGTTTTCCAAGTCAGACTGCTGCCGCACGTCGCTGCATGCTGCGCCCGTTCGTTCTAGCTGACTCTCTGCTTCCTAAGTCAGTCTCACACACGGTAAAAGCAGGATTAACAGTTTACATCAGAACACAGCTCTCTGTTCAAACTCTGCTTCTATTAAGGCAGTATTTCATGAGAAATCAACCGACCAATAAATCCATACACGTTTCTTTGCGAAACGACTGTTCAAAGCACAGGCCGCATAAAACACAGCTGGCTGTGTCAGAAGGAGACAACTTTCCCCAAGAATCGTGTCAGAATAACCACCTTAAAATGCAAAAGTAGCCGTAGGATTCCCTCCCCTATGACAGTGTTCCAGATCAAGAAGCAGAATTCATGCATTCTTTTAAAATCCCTTTAATTAAACAACAGTCTTAAATGGTCTCCCCTCCCCCAGCAATTCAGGCTCCAGGTTCAGTTAAATGACTAAAGTAACTTTCGTAATTAGAGTTGAATTCAGTGGGTCCAGCGTCATAAATTTGGGTAGAAAGTTTGGTTGTACGCACTTTTTTAGAATCAATTCTATGAATACACTAACACCAAAAAAGGACATTTTCTGGTCAATTCTCCATTAAACGATATGTATTTGCCAACATGAAAAAATCAGTTTTTGAAGAATGGGGCTGATTTTTATCTTTCAAAGGTGTGTTCGGATCTCTCTCCCTTCCTCTCTCAGACACACATGCGTGTATCTGCGTACATGTGTGTAGCTGCACGCACAGATAAGTGCACGGCCACAGTGGTATCCTGTCTTTTATTTCATTTTCCTTCATATCGTAAAATTACAACAGCAAACGGAGCTCCACGCAGGGAGAGATGCAGCTTTCAGAAGCCCTTAAGGAAACTGAACACATAAATAAAACAATGTTTATGTAGAGCTAACTCTGCTATGACACAAATAAACCACATTGTAGAAATATCTGATTTGATATTTTTAGCAAAAATCAAGCTCATATGAACAACCAGGTGTGCGGGATTGGCTACATAAAAGAATATGTTTAAAATTTTATTTAATTAAAAGCAATATTCCAGTTTCCTGCTACGAGAAAGTGGGGAAGCCTATATTCCTTCTTGAGACTCTAATTCCTCCAGGATAGGACTGAGCACAGCTTCCGGGGTGAGCACATCCTTGTGCTAAAAATCCTTGAAGTGTTAATATGCACCAGGAGCGACTGGCGTACAGTCCTTGCAGGGAGGGGCCCGGCTAGAACTCTGTGTGCTCTTCTGAAACAGGTTCATTGCGGAGTAGTGTCAGCCTGCCAAAAATCACACGGAAGAAACTCTGCAGAAACAGGATTCTACCTGGATGTTTGCTCCTGAGCAGAGACAAGAGGCGAGCGCGGACGCAATGGCACTGCCCCCCGCCCCGGCCCCGGCCCTGGCCCTGGCGTGGGCAGGGCGCGCTCGGATGATGGTCCCGCAGCACAAAGAAAGGGAACAACGGTGAGTGAGTGCGGCCAGTCACAGCCAAAGGACCGACGGCTTCTGTGTTAGGGTTTACTCAGATTTTAAGAGAAACGTATGGACTTTTAATTAAGTAATTTGTAGAATAAACCTTTCATTTTGAATGTGAGCCTAAACTCTTACAAATGACATCAAGGGAACACATAAAGGAATCATTAATAAAACTCAGTTTTACATCCATCAGACTTGACCATTGGAAAAAAAAAATTTGTATGCCTTGCTTTTATTTTGTTCTTTATGTAAAGGGTTTAGGAAATGCCAAGATGACGATCAAGAAAAAAAATAAAAAACATTCTGTGACATCTTTTGAACTGACACTCGGAGTTCTGAGAGATGTTATGATGAATGCTGCATCTCTTCTCAAGAGGATAGAAAATCTACTTCTTTTAGTGTTAAATTTATTCAGCTAAGCCCTTTAGGATAAACTTAAAGAATACACTTTAGCCCACCTGCTGTAAATTCACGAGGCTCTGAAACCAGAGTCTCCCTCCGTCACTGACTGCAGAGGGACCCCTCTCACTCTGTAACCTCGACGTCACCCGTCCGAGGCCGTCTGCGACAAGTCACACTGGTTACAAGTAGGTCACGCGTGAACACCCACAATAGCAATGTGTAAAAGTTCCTATTTATGACCAACAACATCAGAGCAACACTGGAGTCACAGCCAAAGTACAACATCATAATAGTACCGATTTACCCTCACGAGAAGGACACAGTGGGCAGCCCCCCCCCCGAAGACCTGTTCGTCCCTTTACGGCCTCAGCACTCAGCCCCGGGACGGACCGGCTCGAGACTGCCAGGCAC